ACATGGCTGGGGAAGTCCGTGCCAGCCGGGGGGAGGCAGGCCGGCTGGGAGGACCCTACCTCTCTCCTCGACGGCCTCCACGCAGAGCCGGACGAAGCGGGGCACGGTGGTGCTCTCCCGCTGGCACAGGGCATCCAGGCGGCACCCGAACACCTGGTCTGGGAGAGGGCAGCGCTGGGGCAAACTGGGATGGGGGAGCACTGGGACTCAGCGGGGGGCAAATGGGACCGGGGTGGGGTACAGGGGCCAGGAAGGTATGCTGGGGACCGAGAGGGCAGTGGTGAGGGCAGGGAGGGACACCGGGACTGGGAGAGGACACTGGGACCAGGAAGGGATGCTGGACTGGAGGGAGACACTGGGACCGGTGGGTGCACAGGAACTGAGGGGGAAAATCTAGGACTATAGCGGGGGGAGGTCAGACACTGGTATCAGGAGGGGGATGGGGACCAGCAGGGGATGCTGGGACTTGGGAGGGACACTGGGAGCAATGGGTGCAGAGGGACTCAGGGCAGGAACACTGGGTGCGGAAGGAGCACTGGGACCCACTGGGGACAGGCAGCCAAGGCTCAAGGGAGCACTCAGGCACCCTCTTCCTCTCCCACTTTGGAGGCAGAGGGAGGATGTGGGAGGGTTTGGGGCGGTCCTGAGAGCGTGGTAGGACTTGGGGGGAGGTCCTGCAGCTGGGGAGCCCCACCTCGAATGAGCCCCTTCTCCTGCAGGCTCTGGAGCGGGGGCCGCTTGACGATGAAGCGCCTCAGCTTGCTCTTCACCCGCTTCTTCTCCGAGGTGTCGGGGGCATGGGGGACACCTGGGGGCACAGCAGGTCCAGGGTGTAGTCACGGTCACAGTCACGCCTGAGGCCTGCTCCCCGCCTCAGCCCCCCAACCCTACCTGGAGCCCCGGCTCCCTCAGTGACCCGCGGAGCTTCGTCCTCGTCCCCACTGAGCTCCACCAGGTCCTCAATGTCCCCCTGGTGCAACCACCCCACAGGTGCATCCACAGGGTTCTCCAGGTCCTGGCGGGGGGTGTGGTGGACAGGGACAGTTGGGGATGCCAAAGGGGCTGGGGGCAGCCAGGGGGCAGCCCCTGCCCCTGTCCAGGCACTCACCAGCCGACGGATGACCCCCCGGATGGCCCGGGCCCACTCCTGGATGGTGGCCTCTTGGTCTGACTGCAGCAGGAACTCGTTACCCGTCACAGTGCGGAGCTGGCAGGGGAGGCGGGAGGATGGGGGGGCGCAGGGACCCCCGGGGCACCCCTCCAGGGGTGCCCTGCTTCCTCCCTCAAGGGAGGGCTCTGGGGGAGCCCCTAACCCCCCACGCCCCAGGGGACTATCTGGACCCCCTTTTGTCCCATTTTGGGGGTCCCTGTTCATGCTGGGCTGTGGCGTCCCCTTCTTCATGCACTGTATTTAGGGGGATCCCTGCGACGCTTGGACTGTTCTGAAGAGCCCCACATCCCCTGGGCCGTGCGCTTCAGGCATCCCCACATCCCCAGCCTGGGGTCCCACCCCACTCACGTGGATGACGTTCTTCTTGCTGGAGAGGTCGCGGGCCCGATCCAGAGCAGCCCCCCCCAAATCCACACTGCTCTCAGGGCGGCTGCTGGCAGGGCACTGGGGGGGCACCGGGTGTCATGGGTGCCCTGTCCCCCTTGTGTCTCCCCAGCACCCTGCATTCCTTTCCCGCCCCCCCCCCCCCCC